TATCCCCATTTTGAAGACAAAACATACATACAAAGGGTTTAAATGGCTCATTCAAAATCATGCACCCCATGAGGATGGCCCAGAGTCTGGCCCTCTAGTGTGTAGACCAGGGCCATTTGAGCTGCAGAGCCTCTTGGCAGAGTGGTGGAAAGTGTCGTGCGGGGGACAGCCGCCCTCTAATCACTGCCCAGGCCACCTTTCGCAAGGCACCTCTGGTTTGGAGAAATAGTGCCTCCAAATTTTACTAGTAACTCTGCTACTGCAGAGGAGCTTCCTGCTGGAATAGACCTTTTTTTTCCAGGCACTGATCCTGCCCCAGGGTGTTTTCCAGAACTTCCACTGCTCCCTAATTACCTAGTAATGCTGAAGGCTTATGAAAATGCTGTCTTTTGTGGGAGAAGGGGAGGGAAGACTGAAAGAAGAAAAAAAAGAGAAAATGCTGTTAAACCTGGCAGAACTCCAGGGTGGGTAATTACATTCTTTGGGGTGGTGTTCTCACCACACAGTCTGTGGAGTATTTTTGAAGCCTTCTGTAGGAATTGTACTAAAAACATGAAAAATATTATCATTATTTTTTTCTACATCTTTTAAAATAAGGCCTTTCTAAAGCCACAGAGGCACCCTCTTCCTGATTGTGTCTTTGCCAATTTGTTAGCTGTCAGCGATCTATTCTCAGATCATAAATTTGATGGCTCCCCCCAACCTTGAATTGTTTCCCACTAGAGTCTAAAATGCTCAAGCCAGAGACACGTTGGTACAACCCCACATTTTACAGATGGAGATGTGAGCCCAGGGAGGGGAAGGAACCCACTAATACCTTTGCTGCAGTAATAGGAGGCAGAGAGCACCGTCTGCCCAGATCTGACTCAATGTCCACTTCCTTCCTCCCATTCCTGCCCACCCAATGGACCCATGGTGTATGAGAGCCGGAACAGTCTGTACTCATCCTCTAATCTAGTCTCATCATTTTACAGATGAGGAAACAGAGGCCCAGAGGGCTGTCCCCTAAGTTGATATTACGGTGGGGGTTGAACCCTTGTCTCTTGTCTTACACTGACCACAACTGGCACGTTTATGGTCTGTGGGCCTGATCAAGCCCAGAGACACCTCCTTCTGCCCTTTTCTTTTCCTGCCCCTTGCAATCAAGGTATGCTTAACATTTAAAATAAAACAAACAAAAGCAGTCTATGTTTCTGCTTTCTCTTGGGAAAGAACAAATCAGAACATTCAGCCACAGTGTGCCTCCATCCCTTATGCCGTTGAGGTCCTGCCTCCGCTTTTTGACAGGGTGTGTCCCCCAGTGCTCTTCGTCCTCATGGCCCTCTTCCTGACTCAGCTCACTTCATTCATTTCCCTGCTTGGCCCAAAGAGGCATTGGAATTTGAAATCCCTGCCCAGTGCCATTCTCCTTGATTTGGGGTGTAAAACCAAAGCCAAATACATAAATCTTAGGTTGTTTGGGTTCATGGTAATGGAACTTACAGTATGCCAAACACACGAACCAGGAAAGGCCCTAACTGACCGTAGGGCAGGGGCTGTACTGCCTCTAGACACAATTTGAGCAGCAGTGGGAGGGGTTTTCCACCGGCCTGTCAACTGCCTAGAGTCCCTGCACTGGACACATATCTGTTTGAACTTTAAGGAACACCCATCTTCAGGTGTCCCATTTTAGAACTGATGATGATGAATGCCATCTTCCTTCAGAGTAACAGAATGGAGAGGGAGGTGAGAAGAGGAGCCCTGGTGTCTAGTCCCAGGTACCAGCTGCTCCATCTTCTTCTGGGATGTTTCAGTCTCAGCACTGTGGCGATTGGAAGCCAGATAAGTCTTTGTTGTGGGGGACTGTCCTGTGCCTTGTGGGACATTAGCAGCATCCCTGGCCTCTACCCACTTGTTGCTACCAGCACCCCCACTGTTGTGAAAACCCAGAATGTCTCCAGATGTTGCCAAATATCCTCTGGGGGAGAAAATCACTGCCAAGTGAGAACCACTCTCTTAAGCTAACCATCTAGCCACTCTGAGTCTTACTGAAAATGTAAAGTAGGTTCTAATTCCTGTCTCCATGGGGTTTGGGGAGGATGAAGTGAGAGCAGATGTGCAAGTGCCGCGCGGACCACAGTGTGTCATGTATCTCCAGGGTTTGGTTGCTGCCAGTCACAGAAGACTGTGGGCCACCAAGCCTTCCAAGACTGACACTGGGGATGGCAGGTGGGATGGGGAGTGATCAGGGGAGTCAGCATGGAATGAAGGAAGGACAGCATCAGAGTAAGTCATTTAGGGAACGTACAGTGTGCAGTCCCAATCTTCGAGACTGAGGAGATGGGGCAATACGTCCCACTAATGGTCAGTCTCCTCTTTCTCCCGCACACTCCTGGTCCTAGAACTACTATACCAGAAACGTCCCATCACTGTCCAGTGCCAGCCAGGAGTTCGGTGGCTTCCATCCTGACCCTGACCTCACCTAGGTGTCATGTCCATGCCCTCTCTTCCCAGGCTGCACCGCGGGCTCCAGGCCCCCAGAGCACAGCATTCTCTCCCACCTCCAGCCTCGTAGGCGCTCTTCCCTGGGTTTGCATGTTGCCCTCAGCCCTTGCTTTCTGCCTGCAGTTCCCTCTTTCACGGCTCAGCTCTTGTGAAGCCTTGCTGGGTCCCCACAGACAGACATACTGGTTCTTCCTCTTGGCTCCCCCAGGAGTGTTCCTCTAGCCTCCTCTTCTACCACATTCACCTGCCTTGAAGTGGCGCCTGTGCCTGATTCCCTTCCATAGCCCCCCCCACCTGATACCCTGTAGAATACAGAGTAGGTCCTCCACTGATATTTGAGGAGAATTCTGAAGACACACAGTTGAACCTAAACGTAATTTGACCTAGACGCCCAACCTGGAAGTAAGCTCAGGGTTTATTTAATCACTAAACAACTACGTATTTAACAGGCCAAGAGGAGCCACTGACCATATTTGATCAGGTAAATGACATGGGTAGAGTTGTGTGGAAAGTTTGTCTGACTATATGATTTATAATGACCATAGAAAATGCATGATTTTGCCTCTTTTTAGTTCTCCTCCCCAACATAAGCAAAACAAGTCTTACCTATTACAGGTAGGCGTTGAGATTTTGCTAATTAATCCTTGTAAAGGGCTTTGAGATCTTCCCCTGAAAGGTGACAGAGAAGTGTGAAGTTTTCAATGACAGCCTAATTATTATTATTACCAGGTACAAAGCTCAGAGAACTTAAAAGATCCCCAGGTACCATTCAAAATAGTAAGAGATAAAAAATGCAAATGGAGAAATTTTATTATAAGATGGAATATATGTAAGATGGAATTCTAATGTCAGCAGGGACCTTTGGAGATGATCTTTCCAGATCTGTTCTCTCACCTTTCCCAAGCTGATGCTTACACCACCTCTAGATTGCTCGTGCCCGGTGTTTTCTGCTTTTAGATCCTAAGGGTTAAAAACCTGGGCCTGATCATAGTTTCCTGTGTTCAAATCTCCAATCTCTTTCTTGTTAGCGATGGAAATGGGTACATTATTAGGTCTCAGTTTTCTTATCTATAAAATGGGGACTAGATTACCTACCACAGGCATCACTACACAGTAAATGATGCATGCACATTGCTGAGCATGGTACCTGGTACATGGTAAATGGATAAACACCAGGTTTAAAAATCACTTGAGCTAATTACTATATGTGAAGTTGCATAGGAAATTAAAACAGTCCACCTCCAAAGGTTCCCAGTTTAGGGAATCCATTGAACACAGGTATTTCTTGCAAATCTCAGCCCTCAGAGCTTCCCTGTGCGTGATAAGTGTGATTATGCAATCTTGGTGAGGGAAGTGAGGAGTTTAGGGATAAAATGGCCTCATCAAGTGCCTAAGCAAAATTGGGTCTGTTCTCCTTCTTTCGAATGAGGGAAGGTGGATTCCCCTGTTCATCTGCTGGGTGGGACCTCTGACCACAGCATTGGGTCAGTGGGTGATGCCCAGAACACTCAAGTCCACAGATGGCTCTGCATATTGACCCTGAGAGTCCAGACTCCATCTTATTAGGTCTATGTCTTTATGATTTAATTCCTAGAGCCTCAGTATTTTTATCTATAAAATAAGGATCATGGCTACCTCACAGGAATGGCATGAGGAGAAAGGAAGATTAATTCTGTGAAGTGGCTTCAGACCCTGTAAAGTGCTCTGTGGCTGCTAGTGACTGCCACGTTGCAACCCACACTATTTCCCTGAACACCGCTCTGCTCTCAACAGGTTATTTCAGTGGAAGCCATGGTCCAGGACAGTCTATGTTGTTCCAATTCACATGAGACATGACCAGCATCCAGAGATAACTGAAAGAAACCTGAATCGTCTCCCTAAAATGCTGGCAAAATGACTCATGTAATTGCTCTGTGTAAGTATCCTTAGCCTTTCTCATACACCCACACCATCCTGATGCTATAGACTCCTGTGGAATGCAGGGAAAGTGGGGAGAGGGCCCATTTTAAATGCCTAGGATTTAAAAGAGACCATCAGTTCTGCTTTAAAGGCAGATAAGGACTGCCAAATATCCAAGTTAAGGCACCTGCCAATCATCCCAGACCCTTGGGTTTGTCTTTATGTCATTCTTCCCATTATTAGGGAAAAAGCTTTTCTTTTTTCCTTTCTGGCTCCTAGGAGGGATTTCTAGGGTCTCCCCCTCAGGAATTAGTTGTAGGGATAATTGGGCCAGCGGAGTGCAGGAGATATATCCAGCACAGCTCGTGCGCTCCTAGAAAAAGTGACCTAGATGAAGCAGCCTGTGGATGGAGGACGACGGTGGGGACCCCCTGCCACCTACTGACTTACATCTGAACCCACATTCCCAGGAGCATCTGCCTGGCAGGGGTCTGGGGGAGGGGGGGCTGAGCTGAGGAAGGAGGGGGAGGGGAAGAGGATGGCAGGGGTGTCCCTTTCAAGACCGAGCTTCCTGTACCCACCCCCCATCTGCAGGCACACCGAGGAGGTGAGGATGAGGACGGGGAGGCAGGGTGACAGGGAGAGCAGGTCAGCTGTGGACCTCGGAGCTGGCTGGCTGGGTGTTAGCACAGAGCCTGCTGCCTGTGCGAGTGTGAGGGGGAGAGAGAGCAGGGGAGGGAGAGAGAGGCAGGCTGCGAGGGGAGAGGAGAGGAGAGGAGAGGGGGAGCAGGCGCTCAGCTCGCATGAGGACGGGCTTCTCTTTTCCGGGCTCAGTTAATCTGGCTGTCAGTTGGTGTTAACGCTGCAGTTTAAGTGCTCCGACTCCAAGGGAAACAGACAAATCTCGCAGAAGGAAGCAAGCAAGGAAGGAACTGCAGGAGGAAAAGAACAGGCAGAACAGAGAGAGGAATAAAGGGAACGGGGGAAATACCAAATCTATGACTGGACCTGGGCTTCTTTTTCGCCAATGCAAAAAGGAATATGCAGCACATTTTTGCCTTCTTCTGCACCGGTTTCCTAGGCGCGGTAGTAGGTGCCAATTTCCCCAACAATATACAGATCGGTGAGTGAGAGGGGCAGCCTGGGTGGGACTTTCTGGGTCTGGCTAGTTGGTATTTTTTTTTGGGAGGGGGGGTCCTTGCGCTCCCACCCCCATTCCGGGCTGTGCTTGGCTTTCTATGGAAAGCTGTGTGTGCAGTGATGGGAGGAAGACTTGGCCACCAGCTCGGGGAGGGGGCTTCTCCCGATCAGATGAGGGGCGGAAGGGAAGTGTGGACACGTACACGGGTCCACACTCACCACTCACACTCTAGGCATAAGCATGTGAAATGGAGGAACCACTGCTTTGGAGGAAAAAAATCAGGCTGTAGCAAGGAAAGGGGTGGTGGGTGTTTAAGGAGTTAAACTCCAGTTAGATGCTCGATAGATGGTGCCTCATTTCATTTATTTATATAAATATGTGTGGTGTGTGTATTTATGTGTGTGATTCTGTATTAAATACACACATATATATTTAATTGAGAGAGGCAGTGATTTCTTACTTGGGGAAGGGAAAGAGACCCTCTGTAAGAAGAAGAGAAGCGTGCTGGGTTTATTGCAGCTCCTGAAATAATGCCAAAAGGCGCCCACTGTAAGTCCAGAGGGCTCTCTCTCCCGCTCTGCTCTCCTCTAGCTGCCTTCTCTGCTGTCTGCCATGCTGGGCTGGGGGTCTCCCCACTCCTCTGATCCTGGAACTTCCTAGTCTGCCTTTTCTCTATTCTTCTCCATTCCTTCCTCTTAGATTTTCCATCTACAGAAATCATCTGCCTTTTATACGCACACAAACACACACATGCACATGCTCCTCATCCCTCCTCTGAGCTTTCCCCATTATTGGGCTTCATCCTCCCAACTTGGAGGCAGGTTTCAACATGCTGTCTGCCTTTTTGCTCCCCATTACCTGGTTATTGCTCTTCTAAAAGGACCCCCACCCTCCCTGCATTTATGGGGCAGCTGAGAGATATTGCTTCTCCTAATAATAATGGGTGAAAGCAAAACAAACAGGAGCAGTAACACCAGTAACAACGCATGTCCACAAGGGCTCGGGGCTTCAATGTGACCAGCATTTCAGTGCTGCTTGTGTCCCGGAATTGAGCAAGCTGTTGCTTGGAGGCATCCTTGTTGTTTGCTTCTGTTTTCTGTTCCCCCTCCCCCCCATAGGAAGTAGCTCCACTAAGGAAAGTTCCTGGTAGTTTGTTTTCTTTGTGAGTGTTTGGGGGGTGGAGAGGATGTGGTATTTTCTTGGGCATACAGGTGCTGCAATACAGGTCTCTTTGGGCCTGTCTAGTGTGCTGGCTCCCAGGGTAGTTGAAATAGCCATGGAATAACTTGCTTTGTTTCCTGACACCTGTTAAGCTACATTCTGAAGTGTGTGTGTGTACATGTATTAGTACCTTACATTCCAAACAAAACTTCCTGGCTTGGGAGGAAGCTGCCTATACCTCCCCACCCCCCACCCCGTCGTCTCTCCCATTCACTGCAGGGAAGGAGGAAGGGGACCTGGATGGTTTGGGGTGTGGTCATCTGGAGAGGGGGAAGAGGGGAGAATCAGCATCAACAAGGAGTTTTTTTATTTTTACTCTTTAAAATGGAGGCATATGAACATGTGTAAATCACCTGCTCTTACCTGTAGCATTGTTTATGTTGATATTTTGGGACCTACTGCCCACACCTTGCTAACTGGAAGTGCTTCTTTTGAGATAATATGGACTTGCTTTCTCTTAAGAGTATTTGTGCCAATTGTCATGGGCATAAATGCATGTGGAGTGTTTTGTGTATGTGTATATTTTATGTTTGCTAATGTATCTGCAGATTTTTCATATTTAGCCCAACTTTTTCATTCATCTGATAAAACCATTATATTTGTTTGCAAATGATAGGTTGAAATATTAAATTGTAGAACAAATGCTGAAGCTATCACTGCCATCAGGGAGTATTTGATTCTACTTGTACATTCTCTAACAAAAGACAATCTATTTATTTGCTCTTAAAAACAAACATGTACCTACTGTGTAAGAAGTGAGAAGAGCATTACGTTGGGGCTGTGGTTCCTGTCAGATCTGAGATAGACTTCTGTGTAAATATCTATTATAATTCAGTCTCCAGAAATAGCTGATTTTAATTCACAGAAATGTATTTTAATTCATTTACATGTGCACAGTAAATACAAAGGTAAACCATGACTCTTGTTTCTTGTAACAGGAGCCCCAACAAGTACCTTCATTTAGCATGAATAGAATGTTCAGATCCTCTTGACATTAAGCCCCCACATCTTTGAAGCCCAAGGTTCTGCCATGCAAATACACAATGGCAATCCCTTATGTAACAAGTCATTCCTAGGTAGCTGGATCATGAGTGTGAAAGAAATAAAACACTGCAGAAAATCCAGAGTTTTAGAATAATAAACCTTAGAGGTGACAGAATAGTTAAATTGTACACAGGTCTTTCCAGGTCAAAGACCCAAAGTGTCAAAGCAGAAGGTAATAGTGCTGGAGAAGTGCACAGGGTCCCAGAGATAGGTTTCACCCTGCACCATTTATGAGCACTGCTTCCTCTAAAGCTCTGTGGTGAGAAATGGGTCCAATATAGGAAAAATTAGGCACAGTGGGGTTTATGTGCACACAGCAGCATAGGCCACCAAGGGGGGTCACACAAGGGAGGAGGAAGAGAAATGCCACCTGTTCTCCTATTTCCTCTGACCTGAACTGAGCTGAGGGGTGAATAATCAAATGTTTGGGCAGAGTGATAGATGTTAGAGGCCCTTGTCACACAAAAGCTTATCTGTGGAAGTTAATTCTCAGCGACCCATTGAGTCTATTTGAACTCTCCACCCCACCACTATAGCCAGTGGGCCTGGCACAGGGAGAAGGAGAGGACCCGTCTAGGGTGGGCTGTTGAGGAGTTAACCACAGCCCAGAGATCATGTTGTATTTTCTTTCCACACAGGGGGATTATTTCCAAACCAGCAATCACAGGAACATGCCGCTTTTAGATTTGCTTTGTCGCAACTCACAGAGCCCCCAAAGCTGCTCCCCCAGATTGATATTGTGAACATCAGTGACAGTTTCGAGATGACCTATAGATGTAAGTAATTGCTTCTATTTCTGAAATTTCTTTCTGAGATCGACCAACGAAAGGAGGGCCTGTGAGTAGGTGGTGGTGTTGCAAAAACGACTTGTCATTTGTCTTCATAAGAAAAAGCCCTCCAAGAAAATTTTCCAGGGCCTTTTGAGTGATTCCATCGGTTGGTATTTTAGGTCCTGCAATGCTTCAGAGAATGGGTCTGCTTTTTCACTGTCAGCTAACTTTAAATGCCAGCACAATGGGTACTTGGGGTGACTGCACCTCCCCTACATCTCAGAGGTTTTCTTGTGCAGTTGAGAGAGTTTCACACATAGGAAACTCCCAGAGAAGTAGAATTAAAGAACGTGGAACTTGAGAACTTGGAGAATGTGGTTTTATATGTTTAAGCCTTTCCTGTACATAAGCCCAAAGGAGAAAAACATCCCAGTAGCTTGATAAGAAAGGTTTTTGAGAAGTTATATATGTGGTTTCCCATTTTTAGAAATGACCAAGAATTATTAAAAAATCAGTTCGTTGATTATTTCCAAAATGCCTTGAAGTGACTGACTGCTTATGACCATTTGTAGGATGGCCCTTGAGCATAAAAACAGAATGGAGGAGAATCTCAAGAAGATTCTGACATCTGAATTGAACGCATTGTAAAATGTAGGCAAAAAACACCATTCTCAGTTTTTCTGACAACTGCAACTGAAAAGGAAACCTACACGGTTGCATGATTGCTGTTTTATGACAGATGGAAGCATACAAATTAATCAGCAGAGACATTTTCCCTCCGGGGATTAAGCTCAAGTAGGAATTTATGGCATGAAAGTGTGAACTGAATGGGCAAGAACAACCTGAGACCCAAAACTGGATTAAACTGGCACCATAGGCTGTGGGTAACACTAAGGATTTGGTGACTTCTGCAGAGCTATGGATAGGTGAAGGCTTTGGCCGTATTCCCTCTTTCCCACCTGCCCTCATGGTGGGCTCTCAATGGTTTGAACTGAACATGCTTTGAAGGCTCACGTTGAAAATTCAGAATTCTCCCTAAGACCACTCATAGGATAATTATATGAATTCCAAGAATTATAATGACACCATATTCTCTTTACTGAGACTTCGCTGTGTGCCAAGAACAACGATGAGTATCTTACAGCAGCTGTGGTGACCTTCATCACCATGTATTGAGCATGCCCATGTACTGCACCAATTGCTTCTCGTGCATTGGCTCATTGGATCCTCACAGGCACCTTGCAGGGCACAGTGCTATCTCCCTGTTACAGATGAGGAAACTGAGGCTGTAACAAGTTATCTATCTTGCCCAGGATCACCCAAGAAGTAAATGGTGGTCTTGTGACCCCTAAGTCCATGTTCCTAGAACTGTGACAAATGCACTGATCCTTATGATAACCTGATCAATTTTATACTGAGATTACCTAAGAGCAAAAGGGAGTTTTCAGAGCCTTATAAGGCAGTGACCTGACAAAGCACCTAAAGGAAAACTTCATAGTGCTTCAAAGCACAGCTGTGATTTTGTACAGGCGTGACCCACTGAATAAATAAAATAACAGTTCTGCATTTTGGTAATGGTGAGGTTGAAAACCTTGTTTACTGTGTTACTCATTACCCTTAAAAAAGAGTTGAAGTTTAATTGTTGAATTGTACTTCTATGAAGCTGTCTCCCTAGAAAGCTAGAATAATACTGAGTAGGTAGGTGTTTACTTTTCAGATATTCTCCCAGTCCTTTTGATACAGCCAGAAGTAGGGTCCTTGAAGAAAGGACTTGGGTGTGGGCAGCAATTTATCTAAAAACCACATGACATTATGCATAATCATCTGCATGTATATGCATGTGTGCCTTATTTCCTGGGGAGAGGCTCCATAGCTTTTGTCATACTCTCAAAAGGGTCCATTACTCAAAAAGGATCTCTTGTGTAGGGAATCAAAAAGAATGGGTATTTACTCATACTGCTGAGAACTGTCTACAGCAGACCTTGGTGGAAAGAGATGTTAACTGCTAGCCCAGTGTCAAGATGTTGACTGGCAAGACAAGATAATACAAGACAAAAATAGGAGGAAATGCTCTGAGGCAAAAGGTGGTGCTTCTGAATTGTTAACTTAACAACCTAAGACTTGATCTCTAATACAGTTTGTTGGCCATTTACTGGGGAGATTGAAAACGATATAGGTAACATTATCCACTGTGGTTAGTGAACCTGGAGTGAACAGATCTGGGTTCTTGAACTACATTCCTGCCATATACTAGCGTACGGGTTTCAAAGAATTAGGCCATTCTTTAAATGTTCCTTCAATGCTCTGAACTGAGGTGGACATGGGAAAAACAGATGAGAAAGGGCCCTTGCTTTCAAGAAGTTTATAGTCCATTGGGGGCCACTGCTGCGGGTTGTCTAAGAAGCAATTATGTTATCTTGTGCTTAGACCTTTAGTTTCTTCCCTTTAGCTCCAAGATCAAAAAGGTTCTGGGCAATGTGGGTAGTAATGGTGGCATTGCAATTCCCAGCGTGCCTGGAAGATCCTCTGTTAACTTCCATATGAGGCTAGGGAACATTTTGGGGTTCTGTTCACTGTGGTTCCCTGGTCTGGGAAATCTGAACATCTGTCCCAGTTTGAACTGAGTAAAAAATATCAGAGGGAGCAGAGAGGTTTTAGGTAGGCTACATCAATTAATCATTTATGGGAAACCAAGAAGAGCATCTTATTCAGATTTAATCTCATGGGTTTCTTGGAAATCTGAACTAGTAGTTACCTTAAATTAACTGCCCAGTCTTACCTCCAGAGAATAATCAAATCTTTGTTTTTCATATTGTTGGCTGTCATTCGATTTTTTTTCCTGTGTATTTTGCTATTCAGTATCCCTCCACCAGAGGGTGGAGAAGGGAAGGGAGAGGAAGTGTAACAGGAACTATTCCTGCTAGATAAGAACCCAGATCTACTCACTCCAGGTTCACTAACACAGGGGATTAAAAAGGAAGCGTGATGTTTACAGGGTCAGGGATGCAGCGGAGGTGGCACAGGAGTATAGCTAACAGCACCGGCCAAGATGACAGTAGTGTCTTTGCATTCCATCTTCTTGCCTTCCTTGTCTGCCACCATTAAGGGATAAAGTCATGAAATCAGCAACCCAAATGCCTTGGGATCTCCTCTGAGCACTCTTCCAAGCCTAGCAGGTCTGGAGTGGAGGAGACTGTCCAGAGGTAGCATTTACTTATCAGCTATTAAGCTTATTTTGGTGTCTTTGTGGTAAGTATAAATAAAGGGACAGAGAAATACTGATTGGGGTTTCTATTACAAGTCTAAGGAGCATTTTTGCAACACATTCTTACCCTCATTCAGCAAACAAATGGCGAATGCCCTCTTTGTGCCACACACTGTGCTAGATGCTAGTAGTAGTTGCAATGAAGAAGACACAGTCTCTTTCCCTGGGGAGTTACAATTTAGCCCAGAGGTCCTCAAATTTCAGTTCATATGAAATTCATCCAGAGCACTTGTTTAAAGCAGTATTCAGGGTGGACTCTAGACTTCCTGAATCAGAATATTCAAGAGCTGCTCCTGGGGGTATTCTGTAGTAGTTAGTATGGGGGTCACACTCTGAGAAACTCTTTAATCTAAAAAGCCTTCCATTCCCTTAGCAAGCATTTTTGAGCCCTTAATCAAGCCCAGACATGGTGTTATGTGCTAGAAATGCAGACAAAAGTAAGACATGTTCCCTGCCCTGGAGGACTTTATCCCTAGTGAGGCCTGACTGTCCTGTAAAGAGAAAATTAAAACGTAATGTTGTAAGTGTTACAGAAATGATTTGTATGGAGTGTTAGCGATGCCTTAAAGAGTGGGGTTGGCCTCTCAGGGTGCTGATTGAATGGAATCTCAATAATAAATAGAAGCTTTCCGAGGGGAGAAGGTGAGGGGGCAGAAACGGATAAGGCAAAGTATGTTCCCAGTAGAAGGAATGGCTTGTGCAAAGGTAAAGAGGATACTTTACTTTGTTCTTCCCCTGTTGATTCGTCCTGCACTATTACCTTTGGTGTGTGTTTACAGGTCAGCTCTCCCATAGTGGAGTGTTCTGACCTCCGTGGTACTCCATTCTGGGTCTCTCATTTGCCATTTATTAAACTCTATAGAAATGGTCACCAAGTGGCCATCCATAAGGTAGTTTCAGTATGATATTTAAGAATCATGAAATTTCACATCAAAATTTGGTCATCTTAGCTCTCTTTGACTTTTTAAAAGACTTGGCAACACTAGACCCCATGTCTAGGTAGCTCCAATTTGCTGGGAATGAGCCGGGAATATATCCCATCTAGATAACTTCTTTCCCAACCAGCCCACTTCTCTCACTTTTTTAACCTGCCTGGATCCTTGAAGCATTGTATTTTCAAGCCCCTGTTGATTCATCCTGCACTATTATCTTTGCTGTGTGTTATAGGTCAGCTCTCCCACCAGAATGTGAATTGCTGTCCAGAAAGACCATATGTGTCTATTGTTTGGTGTTGCTGAGGACACCTGGCACAGGGCTATACTCCTAACCCAAGAGAACAAATGTCTCTACAAGTCAGGGAATCACAGAGCATAAAGATGCTGAGAGCCTACATAACAATCTGGTGGCAGGTAGTTGCCTAATACTGGTGGGTCTCCCACTATGGTGGTTCTATAAGGAAGTCCAAGGGCATTCTAAGCAGACCATAGGCATGAACAACAGATGGATGGCATATTATCCTTGCCTAAACGTCCCTCATCATTTTCATGTTGCAGACTAACAGTTCACAAATTTGTTTTACTTGACCTGCACAATACTGCCCAAAATTTGGCATTAAAGTCCAGATGTCTGGCTTCTTTGAAAAACCTCTGGGCATCAGGTAACCCTGGACCCATATTCTGGCTCAGCTTTTATTGTCTAGAGCTGAGAAGTGCTGTCCTCTTTAAGCATAAGGCATAAACAATCAAGCTTGCCAAAGTTCTCACCACCCCCTATTGTACGTGTAGCCAGTATAACAAAATTGTGTTGCTTGACCAGACCAAACTGCTTACACCTGATTTATATCCTTCAGCATGTATCGTTTCTTTATTTCCTAAGAGTCTCTGTTCTTCACTCTTCAACAAATAGAGGGCACAAAAGGTATGTGACTCCTGCTTTCAAAAAACTAGTCTATATATGATAATGAAAAGATTGGAGGACTTGAGGTAGCACAAACAAAGATTATTTTGAAGATCTGCTATATGCCAGATACTTCACACCTGTTGTCTGATTGCAGCTTTAAAATAATCTTGAAAGGTTATTATCCCCATTTTACAGGTGATGATACTGAGACTGAAAGAGATTGTCTTCCTCATATTCTAGAGCCTATACAAGGTTGAGCTAGTGTTTGAAGCCAGCCTTGGGGGACTCTAAAACAGTAAGCCTTCACCCTTTCCAGATACATGACTACCGGGATGCAGAAAACAAAAAGAGCAGTGAAAGTGCCCAAGTAAGAAGTACCACAGTGAAGTTTATGATTCAAGATTAAGAGCTAAGACGTCTGAGGCAGAAGCTAGGGCCATGTATAACAAGGAAAACTTCTTGGGGGAGGTGGGACTTAAGCAGGGTAGAGCAGATTTTGGTAGCAAAGTCAGAGGATGGTATTTTGAGTGAGTAAAGTCACAATATTTCTCCTTCCCTTCTCTCAACCACTACAGCAAAAGTTTCTTTTTGTGAGGTGGAGAGTTCAGACTTGGTCTCCTGTATCCCACACTATGCTCTAGGTTGAATGACAGATGTCTGCATTGCTCTGGGGGATGTTACAATCTGACTGTGGCTTTTTACCTTCCCCTATGTTCTCACTTTGAGACAGGCAGGCATCAACATGTGTCTGTGGTTGACTCTAAGTCCTTATAATAGCAATGATTGTATGAGCTTTTTGATGCACAAAAGTAGCTGTGAACATTGCTTCCTCTGACTAGCTTGAAGACTCTGCTGAGATCGGTGAGATTACCGTTCTCCTCTTAGCTGCATATAGGACACTTGGGAAACTGTTAAGATTCATTCATTTGTTCATTCACTCAAAGCACTTGCACTGTTGCCCTCTGTGGAGCATGTGTACCATCATTGCCCCTCCCCATACCCTTACAGACAGCATTCATTGATTACAGAATTCTTTCCCACTGAATCTTAGACATGGCCTTAAATTCCCTCTCACCATAGCATTTCAGGCAGCTACTACAAATTGGTCAGAGTTAAAGCTGATGAAAAAGATAAAATCCATTTGCCATTACAAGGCAGTGCACTAGGAACTGAGGAAAATAAAATGCATTAGACATTGATTCCCTACTTGAGAGACCCATGTTCTTACAGGGGAAATAAGCATGCACAAATCCCTTATAAATGGAGAGTTTCTCTCTTTCTCTTTTACACACACACGCACACACACACACACACACTCACACAAAGCATGACAAAGAAGGAAAACCTCCAGTAGGAGGAATCAGATTAAATTTCATAAGACACGGACATTTGAGTTGAATTTAGAAAAGCAGGTATGATGTAGACTGGGAGATACACACACACACACACACACACACACCAGGTTTTAGGTAGTGAAAAGTATAC